GCGGGTAGGCATTTTGGGTCATTGAGGAGGCTTCTGTCTCTACATGGTAGATGCTAAAATATGGCCGAAGCATAGGTTGGTGAGAATTTTGAAAGTGAACCGATGGCTGGTACAACAGGGTGACAAAAGCCATGCAACTGGAGATTCTCCTTTGAAAACCAAGCCAAAGAATGAAGACCATTCTGTCCTACATTCCTTGTCCGAGCTCTGCTCCCGTCCGCCGTCGGTGACCACTGTCCTGGCCAGGCTGTCTCCGAATGACTGACAGCGAACTGACGGTACGGCTGCTTTGTTGCACATTTCTGGATCAGCAATGCTACTAACTGTGATGTAAAACATGTGTTGGACATCTGCAACACTACCTTTTTCCGAATTATCTTCCCTAACACCACCCCACCCCAGAAAAATGCCACCGGGAAGCTGTCTACTTTAGGTATGAATTGGACCAGCGGACATTTCATTGCCCATCATTTAACGTAGATGACTTGATCTGTATTTGTGTGTATGCAGGGGGTATGCCGAGCCTTGTTAAGAGGAACACAGGGTTGACAAATACCCCTTTATGGTGATCCCCCCACCAAACGATATCCCGTGATATAGTTTGCTTGTTAACAAGGATACCGTTTTCTTCGTTTCATTGTTTTTTACGGTGTAACCAGAACAGAAACCAGCAGCTACCGTGAAATCAATTTTGTTTACATTTTTAACACGCGCCCGTGTGGCCGGCTAGATTCCCTTCGCTCGGCTGGGGGTCAATTTGACCCCCTGAGATCTCGGGAACTAAGAAAGCTAAAGACACCAAATTCACAGGGTGTGTTGACCTGCACGTGAACTCATTTAGGTCAAAGTTTGAGGTTCCTGGTTCATGACTTTTGGGTAAAATAAAGTCAAACAAGGTCTAATTTTAGATTGGTCTCTTAAGTGCAACCAGAACCTAGAGAACTGTTTGTAAGCAAAAGGTCACTTGTCCATTTAAGGTCAGTGAACTTTTTTGACCTTTTGAAGGTCATGGTGACCAAAAGCATACAAGACTGCTCTGGGTTTTGCATTTGAATAAGCGACAAAGATTATGCTAGTCAGTATGTTTCTAAAAAAAATGTTGATTTAGGTCATTTTCGATCAATGACCTATTCTGCCCTCTAAGAAATCCATCGAAGATGTATAATGCAGTTTTTGCAATCAATAAATTTGAAATGAGCACCAGAAGCAATCTCATACAGTAAGCCCTAGAGTAATAAAACAGGTTGGTTTTGACCTTGGTCTGACCCCTATACCTGCCCTTAGGTCAACGTAATTTGCTCATGCACTATTCGTGTTGCCTAAGAAAGCATCTCAGAGATGTATGACTTCGTCTAACACTCTATTGTTGCATCAGATTGAACGATTCCCTAGAAGTTAACTTCGCTGAAACCATGGCCTGACTTTAACCTGCCATAGGTCAGCAAGCTCACAAGGTACATTTAAATTTTGATGCCAAACGATCGGCCATTGAATTGTCTACAGCTATGGAAAGTTTGGCGCAGCTACGCCTCACCATTGGGACACCATTGTGGTAAGACCTTCGGGGGGGGGGGGGTCAATTTGACCCCCACCCGAGTGCGTGTTAATGTCAATAAACTGCAGAAATCAAACGTTTAACGACCGCATGAAATAAATCACCAGTGTTCTTAATTTGCCATGGCTTAGTGAAATTTTTCTAACCGATAGAACTCAGAAGCTAGCTTTTTCATAATGTTTTATCTGCGTTCTACAGACATTAAGGACATCGCGAGGGTAAATTGTAGATCGATATGTTTAATCGAAATTTGAAGGCGAAAATTTTGATTGTAGAACGAGTGGTTAACAATGTGTATTAACATCGCCAAGCCATGTTGGTCTGGAAACGTTTGACAGTCAGTCAGAATCGGTTAGTGATGCAATTTATATAACGTGGTTTTTAACGTGCGCGATCGCAAATCTTGGCAACAAAAACCTCGACACCAGGTGCTGCAGTCTCCATAGTCCGCAGAGCGCCAGCTTAGCGGTTATCTTTTCATCACGGCCCACCGATGAACAAAAATGATAGCGGTTCTGAAATGATTACAATTAAACACTTAGATCGCTTAGTAATACAACTTATGTAACATAATTTTGAGCATGCGTACTCGCAAATCTTAGTTTAAAAAACCTCGATGTCAGGCGTTGCAGTCTCCGTAGGCCACGCAGCGTCTAATACCGAGTCGTGGCCAACGGGTGGAAGAAAATGATGACGCTCCTGAAAAAGTACTTTTGAATACTTCAGGACATCAACTCTTACATCTACAAGGCAGTCTGGACGCATATTTTACGTGTGCGATTTTTAGACTGATAAAAAGAATAGATTGGCCCTTAAGGCACAGCGAAGTGGTACTGGAATCTGGTGGTGGAATTGGAATAGAAAAGGTAGATGCTCCATTTTTCGTGTTTCTGTAACTATGAATCTGTCCAGAAGACAGATTAACACGGTGCCCGCCATCTGGCGGCACTTGCAGTGACCGACGCCGTTCGGTTTTACAGAATCTGCAACCCAGACCATCGCTGTCCTTGCTCTCGAGGTTGCGGGCGGGCATGTTCAAACCTTTTGATGCACTTTTCACTAGTCCGTTCTGAAAAATGAACGTTCTTGGGCAAACATGAGATGGCCTTGCTCGTTAAAAAAAAATATATTTCGACCCACTCTATTGAAAAATAATGAGACCGCCAACTCTACTCAATAACAATGAGGCCCCTTATTTCCTTCCGGGCAACAGGCCCTTGAGTAGAACGCCAGGGGCACATCACCGGTTCCGGTCAAGAGCTGAAGGGCCACTCCGTCCCATCGCGAAGCGTCTTCTGGCTGTCATTCTGGCGACACGGGGCGGGATCTTCTGGTCGATCCAGGGGCCATTGGAAGGATATATAATATCACATTGTTCCCCTCCCTGCCACGGGAGGCCTTCTGATCCGCGCAGCTCTGCGTCAGCATAGGAACCCTCATTGACGCAACAACATCCCTGGCCGCCAAAGGTGGTCCAATAATTGTCACAAAGGCTCCAGTTCCGTGTTTTTCTGTTTTCTTCAGAGATATTGAGGAGTCCCTGAACATAGATTGTTGATGAAATGGGGTCCTAAACTTGCATTAACGTGGGTTATCAATGTTCGTCTTAAAATGTTCAAGATTCAGTCAGAATTGATTACTGATAAAAAACTACTTCGACTCCAGCGTGAGGAGTCCGGGTTCGAATCCCGACAGCACCAGGGTCATTAGGCGCTAGTACGGCCACTGCGGTCGTTGGCGCTGCACACAAGGGCGCGCGACAGCGTACACTACGTTTCCTTTTTAAAAGCAAGCCTGCATACCGTAGAACGCTTGTGCACCTCTCTAATAATTTCAACAGAAGATTAGGTGTCCTGGACATTTGTCCCACGCAGGGGTGTCCTCATGTACGGTGTGGAACATGAATTGCCGATCACGCCGCTCCCCTTTTGAATGTCTCTGAGATCAAAACCTACGACCTGGGTCGGCAGCCTGTCAAGAGAACTGGAGACCAATTCCCCTGGCGTATGAAAAAGGCAACTTCCGCAGTGAAGTTGACCTGAAAGCTTAAAAATGCTATTGCTGGGACGCTGAAACAACGCAAGTTAAACGCAACGACGCTCCCTTAAAATGACCACAAATGCGTGCAAATACGTGTACAGTATAGCGAAAACACTGATTGTGAATTGGAGCAGGCAAAATTCGTTTAGCTAGTCTCGTTCACGAATATGCGCATGCGCTTATCAGGACGAAAGGTTTCACACTTTGTATAGACAATAGCCGACTTCAAACGGAATTTGTCACGTACGAAAGGCACTATACCTTCTGTTAGACTGCTTCGTATTTTTCATCTGTCGTTTCATGAGATGGCTTACAAGAAACAACTTACATAACTGAGAGCACAGCTCTTTAGCGATGCTGATATGAGCGGTCAAAGTCAACAGCAATCTAAGTGTCTTCGTGGATAAAAACTATGAAGTTACACAACGTGACTAGGAACTGCAAAACACGCCACGTAACTCCAAAACTACGTGCTGTAGGTGCAATCTTTGTTCAAAATTAGGTGCACCGACTGTAGCAGCGCGGTACTGTGGAATGGCGCCACGCCGGAAACGGAGCTTAATTTGGCGACGAAGTGTCCGTGCCCAAGCTTCTCACATGGGCGTGCCACTACACACACGTTCATCTCAAGGTGTAGGACAAACTTTGCAATAAATAAACCTTGCGCATTTTCCAAAGAACAATGCTTCCGCCCCCCCCCCCCCCACACACACCTAAACTGTGCGGCATGTGCCCATGCGGTGCCTGGATGAAGCATTGCGCGGATGGCGCATCATTGCTCAGAAATGTAGATAACAATATAGTTTTAAGGCCTTTCTCTGCTCTTGTTTCGATAAAAGAATGCTGCAGGAATATAGACCCAACCATAACTCCATTCTCCTGGCCTTTCTCGGAGGAATAATGTCAATACTACCGTCTTATCCAGGTGAATAATGTTCCTCACAAATGCGCTGAACAGCCTCATAGTTTTCCTGACCTTATCCTCATATCAAGCATTGTTGGCAGTGGCACACATTTCAATTGCACGAGCTTGACATCACTGAAAATAAGCTTTAAAAATCGGCTGCTCTCAGTGCATAAAAACACTGTTCCGCTCTCTTTTTGTCACAGCTTCATGTACCATGCAGACCTCTGCAGACTTTTGTTATACCTTTTCTTCGATGTAAGAGGCCGGACACCTCCCAAGTGATATACTGTGATTCTCCCCTAAGCGTCTTTTTTGCAAGTCTTTGTTCACACCACTGGTGCCTGCCATGAGCCTTCTTCCTCAACATCTATGGAAGTCACCTTAAAATAATCTTAGCACTTGTTATAACATTTCTGTAGGTGAAAGCTAGCAAGAAATGCATTGATGTCACTGTAAGGAAGTTGGGAACGAAGTGAGCGAACACTCGGCAGAGACGCCATGTCTTGCACCGACGACAGCAAGATCACCGTTAGCGTGGTCGTGCATGGTGACCCTGACCTGGCCTCCAACGGGAGGCTGCTGACCCCTGGTGACCCCGCCCTGCCCGGGTCAGCCGAGGACTGCGGCGAGGGCTGCCAGGCCGTGAGGATAGTCACGCCGACCCGCATTGTCGAGGTCAGGTCACACGAGAGGTCAAGGTCACTTGGCAGGAGCGGCGCCCGTGACGCCTGGACGCCGTCGTCGGTGAGGAGGCGAGAGGTGCTGTCAGGTCGACTCGGCAGGTCACGCGTGTCGGCGGCGGACGGCGGCTCAGGTAATCCTCTCCACATGTCTGCTGTTCTCCCTAGGGTCACCAACAAATATGATAAAAATGCCTGCAAAAGACCAACGGACGTCATTTCTATCCCTCCTCGTAGATGTTGCTATGAAAAACTGGCTTGCTTTGAATGTTTCAAATGTAGAATTTGAATAACCAAAATTAGCGCGATGCTAATCTGAAAAAGTGCAGCATTTTGAAACATTTAGGATGATTAGGCAAGTTAGCAGGCATCACTGAAGCTGGTAATTAATGCGCACTTGTACTTACCTTTATCTGTCCCCATATCAGATAGCTGTGAATAAAACACAAAAGCTGAAATGCTTCTTTCAGTTGATAACAATTCAAATGAAATATAGCGGCAAAAAACAAGCAGCAAAAACATGAGACTTAAAGCCCAAAATTGGACTATTGAACCAAAAGTAATGGGAAATTGCAAGCAAAAATCGAAGGATAGCAAAGCTAACATTTTTCTAGTGAAACAAGACAAAATATGCATAAGATGAGCAGCGAGTCACCTGCTCAGCTAACAGGGCAGCGGGTGAAATGGTCAGCTAATTGGGCAGCGGGTAAACTGGTCTCCACGTGGAATAACGCCAGGCTGGCAGTGGTTTGTGAATGTGCGACACCGTGTTGTCTCTGCACGTCCCTCGACGGAGAAACATTGTTTGCCGCGTGCTTAGCCAAGCAACTCATCTGCGTCCCAGGCCCCCTCCCATGTCTGGCGCAGGTGGCTGCCACAGTGCGTGTTTGGGTGCTGACCCCCCGCGACGCACATTGTCATGTGACCTCAGGTGGTGCGGTGACACGGGAGCTGCCCTCGTCCCGCTCCTCCTCCTCGCGGCCGCTGACGCCTCTCAACGACGGCCCGGCGCCGTTCCTGCCGCGGCCAGGGTCGGCCGGCGACCCAGACGCCTCGTCGGTGACGTCGGCGCCGGCCGAGCTGGCCTCCTGCCTCTCGCTGACGGAGCCGACGGCGCCGGCGCTCGGCTCGCACGAGTCGCTGATGCGCCGCTTCCAGCTGGCCGACACGCTGATCGGCAGGATTGCCGAGCAGCCGGAGATCCGCGAGAGCCTGGTGACGAGGCTGCTGGACGTGGAGCTGTTCGTCATGCAGCCCATCTACCTCAGCCACCGGTTCCAGGTGAGAAAGCCTCCCTTCTTCAGCCGCCGGTGCCAGGGTAGGCAGCGTTTCTACCTCAGCCACCGGTTCCAGGTGAGAAAGCCTCCCTTCTCCAGCCGCCGGTGCCAGGGTAGGCAGCGTTTTCTACCTCAGCCACCGGTCCCAGGTGATGTAGCGGCTGCAGGCACCCACTGCTCTGGAAGGGGATTCCCCCTCCTCGGTCTCCTACGTCCCCCCTGCTATCGGCTGACCGCCCAGCTTCCCCACCGCGCAACACGCGTGCAAAGCGAGGAGGCGGCGACGGCAGACCGGCCGCCGTCGTGCCGACAGGAATACAGCGGCGAGAAGCTGATGGTGATGGACCAGCACGGCAACCCGCTGCTGTTTGCCGTGGAGACGAACCGCTCTGCTGTGCGCCGCGGCTGCTGTTGCTGCTGTGCCGCCCACCGCCGGCCTCTCCAGATGATGGTGAGGAGCGCATAGGCGGATCCTGGGGGGGAGGGGGGGGGGGGGCACGGGGCCATGACCCCCAAAAACTCTGAGAGCATGTTTTGCCCCCCCCCCAAAAGAAAACATTCCCAGAACTTCATAAAAGTTTCGTCTACTTGCCGTCTGTTTTAACTTTAGCTGTTTTAACTGCTTTGTTTTACCCTCTGATTTAGCTTCAAAAGCATTTCGGTGCTTGAATGGTGTCCCTACTAGCTACTCGCGAGAGGCACCATGCACTGGACCTCGGATTCCACACCAACCAGCTGGTGACGAACGGTTGCCCCCCCCCCCCCCCCAACTCCAGGCTAGATCCGCCCCTGGAGGGTCGGCTCGCTCACATGCCCGCAGGCGATCAGCCGTCTGTTCCAGTGCCCGACACTAAACATGCAGCTTTCTGCCCTAGAGCGGCAGCGTGCAGGGCTTCAGGGCTTCCCGAGGCAGGGCACGTCGTAGGGATTAAGTTAGACCAGCCTCCCACCACCGACTCTGTAGTCCCCCACCCATCCCCGTCCTGGTCCCCACCCCCAGGCAGAGAAAGCTGGTTCTTTTTTGTATAAATGATGCGCTTCGCTGTGCCATTACTCCGGAGAAGTTTGCAAGAACCATGTTATCTTGATTTAGTTGGTGGTTCAGGGTGTTTTAAATTGCCCAGAAGCGTGAAAGAGAGGAGCTCCGAGTCTTCACAATGGAGGGCGCTGCGGTACATGCATGCCCTCTGCTAATCAGCTGCATCAGACCACCACCAATGTCTGAGGCCTGTGTGCCTCAGTCGCATTGCGTCTGCCATTTAGCCGTGTGACCTTTATGACCCGTTCATCACGTTTGCCCTCGTGTCTTATGACTTCTATGTGACATCGGGTTCAGCTCTACGACCTGGAAGAGCGTCCGGTGGCGCTGTTCCGCCGCCGCCTGGCATGCGCCACCTGCTGGAGCCCCTGCTGTCTGCAGCGGGCCTACCTCAGGGACGTGATCCGTACACAGGAGGAGCACCAGGTGGGACCACCTGCTGGAGCCCCTGCTGTCTGCAGCGGGCCTCCCTCAGGGACCTGATCTGTGCACAGGGGGAGCACCAGGTGGGACCACCTGCTGGAGCCCCCGCTGTCTGCAGAGGGCCTACCTCAGGGACGTGATCCGTACACAGGAGGAGCACCAGGTGGGACCCCTGCTGGAGCCCCTGCTGTCTGCAGCAGGCCTACCTCAGGGACATGATCCGTACACAGGAGGAGCACCAGATGGGACCCCTGCTGGAGCCCCTGCTGTCTGCAGCAGGCCTACCTCAGGGACATGATCCGTACACAGGAGGGCACCAGGTGGGAAGAGCAGTGACAGGGGCCGCCAACAATGACTTCATCATGTACTCCGCAGGGCGAAGACCTGCGCCTCTAACATCTAATGCTACTGGATATGAATGAAATGTGGAAACGATGTCAAATGACGCGAAAAAAATTGCTGTTTTGCGTCACAATCTACAACCCTATACTCCTAACGGAGTTATGCAGTGAATCCAAACAAACAAATCACAGGCCGTGTGTTGGCAAGCAATAACTCGGCAATACTGCCATTCGGTATCCGCCAGAGCGCTGGCGGAGAGCGCACGTCGATGACCTTGCACACACTGATGACCGCCTCAGCGCCCCCTCCCCTGACCTCTGCCCCGCACGCCGGCAGGACGCGACAGACGCCGCCCCGTCGGAGCTGTTCTACGGTGTCATCCGGCAGCGCTGGCACCCGACCCGCGCCGAGTTCGTCTGCAGCGGCATCCGCGGTGGCGTGGTGCTGCGCGTGCGCGGCCCGCGCCGCGGCTGCTGCGCCACAAACGCCACCAGCAGCTTCCACATCCTCAGCATGTACGGGCGCGCGCGCCTGGGCAGCGTCGGGGCCCGCTGGAGGCCGCTCAACGTCGACGTGTTCCGCCGCAGCGACAACTACGGCGTGCAGTTCGACCGCGGCCTGCCGTCGCGCGCCAAGATCACGCTTCTGGGCGCCGCCATGCTGCTGGATTTTCTGTACTTTAACGTGTAGCCGACGGGTGGGGCTGACTGTCGGCGGGGCTGTCCAACAGCACCTCACCGGGAGGCTGTCTTCGAACGGCGTTATTGGACCGGCTGGCCGGGCCGTGGAGCCGGTGGAACGGGGGTAGCCCACTAGCCGCTAGCGTCATGGCACATCAGGCCGTTTGCGACGTACTCGTCTTCGTACAATGTTTTTTATGTCCTCGGATTTCAGCGAGCAAGCAATAAACGCACGAAACCGGCGGATTTTCACCGAGAGCGCTCTAGCCGCCCACTTGCGAACACCCCAGGCGGGTAATGTTCCCGTTCATCTTTTTACGAACAGAAAATGCAGATTATAGGCGCGGATGCATTCATGAAAGCACACGAGCGCCGTTGTAGGACAGGCACTTTTGGGACTTCTGGCTCCAGAATTCGGCCATCTTGCTGCCTCACTCTCACTCTCTCACCTCACCACACCGATGCCAACACAGTGGTGTGTATTTCACGGACGCGCAGCCGTGGGTCGGCCCACCGGCGCGCGGCAAGGGCCGGACAGCGCCGCCGAACCAACGCGGCGCCGCCGGAGCAACACGCTCGCACCGCCGGCGAACTCTCCAGCGGCGCACACCCACACACGAAAAACACGTGACTAGGCAGGCATTCCTGGAGCAAACTAAACAGTGCGGATCTAATCTACTCTTCGGATGGTGCGGAGGGCGTCCGCGCTCGCCGCGCCCCATCAGCGGAGGCGGCGGAACTTCTATGACTTTGGAGAGAGATCATCTAGTCGGGCCCTCAATATCACAGCGGATTCGCAAGGGTCGGCTCTCAGGCCCCTACAAACACACGGTACTGTAACGCATACGGAATAGTACGCGACTCCACTCCACGTAACACATCCTGCAATTTCTCCAGCGTGGAAGAGAGCACGAAAACCAAGCTCAATATTGGACCCTCCTGTTTGGTTTCGCGGACGGAACGACACTTCAATGCACGTCAAGCACCAAGGCACGACGCGCGTTGCATGGGGCGGCCGAGGCGGCCCTCCGCTGACGCCCCCCCCCCCTCCATTCCAGGTGAACAGCGGCAGCTCCGCAGCAGGTCCCCCCCTCCCTCCATCCTGCACCGCGCGGCGGAGACGCCCCCAGCCGGTGCCTCTGGGCCGGCCGGTGCACCCCGCCGCCTGGTCACGAGGCTCCGTGTGGGCTCAGTTGCAGCGGGCGCGGGCGCCGGGACAGCTCGGCCGTCGGCGGACCGGGAGCGTCGCCAGACGCCGCCGGACGGACGCCAGGCGAGCGGCGCCGCACGCGCCGCGCCCGCCCCGGCCTCACGCGCACGACCGGGTGACAGTCGACAGCCGCGCCTGACGACGGCTGGCCTCCGAGCGAGGCGAGCCACCCACCGGCCTGGCACGCCTCCGAGCGGGGCGAGCCATCCACCGGCCTGGAGGCTCCCGCCACAGGTCACGGGCGTTACCATCTCCGGCGCCGAGCCGCTCCGAACGAGACCGGGCTCGACGGAAGTCACACGCAACACGACGCACCGTTGGCATGGTGGCGCGCTGACGCGCACAACATCGCACCAGCTCGACAACGCCCCGCGCCGTCCACCCGTAGAATGCAGCGCTGCAGGCGCTATGGCCGACACCGCCGCACTGGGAGATCGGGAAGGTGCGGGGCGGTGTCCCCACCCCGTGACGACCCTACGCCGGGGACAGTGCTCAGCTCGGTCCGCGCAATTCCTGTCTGAACTGAACGGAACGGGTGCGGCTCCCTGGCAACGCATTCCACCCCACACCGACAAAACACTGCACGTGCAATTTTAACGCACCGCATGCTCCGACGCATCCGTCCACTCGGCCTTTCACGGGCGTTGGGGAAAGAGCGCCGAGGCTTAGAGGCCAAACCGTGTCCCATCAGAGGTAGCACCGCGTCCCGTCCGACGCCAGGCCGGCCTCAGCAGGGGCAGAGGAGTCCGTCTGCGCCACCGCTGACCGCCCCACCGGCCGGGCTCGGCGCGGCGCGGCTCGGCTCCGCGCCAGCCCGGCCGCCGCCGCCCGCCGCGTCAGGGCTCGTTCTTGATGAAGACCTTGGGCCGGGAGAAGATGCGGATGCCCTGCTCCACCTTCTCCAGCTGGCGCTCCAGCGAGGTGCGCTGCGCCAACAGCCGGACGCTGGAGTGGGCGATCGGCAGTGAGCGCAGCTCCGACAGCAGGCTCTCCTGGTCTGGAGAGACATGGGGCACGGCTGTCACACACGCAAACACAGCACGCTCTCCTGGTCTGGAGAGACATGGGGCACGGCTGTCACACAAACACACACACAGCAGGCTCTCCTGGTCTGGAGAGACATGGGCCACGGCTGTCACACACGCACAGACACAGCAGACAGGCAGCGGGCTTCTGCCACTGCACGGCGCCCAGCACGGTGCCTACGCCGCCATTAGTTTTCATCTCGCGTCTTTTTCCCTCATCTGACGACCGTCTCGCGTCTCCCCTTGTCTCCTTGCTCTCCCTCAGCACGCACCACGTGGCCGGCCTCCGGTCCCGCTCGTCTCCGCCTCTCTGACGGCCTCTCACCCGTCCCCCCTGAGTACGTGCAGCCCCGCCTCCTTACTCTCTCTGAGGACGGCGAGCGTCTGGAGCCGCTCCTCGTCGGGCATGCGGCTGTGGTCGGGCGGGCAGGCGGGATCAGGACGGCGGCGGCGCTCCTCCTCCCGGGCCTCGCGCCACTCCTCCTGCCGCCGACGCAGGTACCTGCAGCGCGTACACATGTCAGGACACGCGTGAGGAGACATGCGTGAGGACACCCACATGAGCACAAACACACGAAGACAAGCACGCGAGGACACACACACGCACACACACACACACATGCGCACACACACACACACACACACACACACACACACACACACACACACACACACACACACGCACGCACGCACGCACGCACGCACGCACGCACGCACGCACGCACGCACGCACGCACGCACGCACGCACGCACGCACGCACGCACGCACGCACGCACGCACGCACGCACGCACGCACGCACGCACACACACACTTGGGACCGCTCGCCGCTCAGCAGCATGCCCAGCTGACAGTCGATTTCCGATCTCCAAACGCTAGTCATGCTGTTCAGAGCACCTCCTACGCCAACATCGGGCGGCAGGGCCCGCGTTCAACATGGAACGGTCGAGGAAACCAGCATCCAAACTGGCAACTGACAATGCAGCCCGCCGTCTCGCCGCTGGCATTGTACATCGGCAGCGACCCCCGCGGACGGCGCTCGCCCGCTGCCGGCCGTCAGAGGCCGCCTCCTGTTCCATACCTGGGCACCTGGCCGGGCTGCGGCTGCGGCCGGGCCTCGGGCGGTGGCGGCTGGCTGCGGCTCCTCCGATTCCGCTGGCTTGCCGCCAGCTGCCGATTCCGCCGCACGAAGTCCACCGTCGGCTGCCGCGCGAGCGGACGCGTCGTTACAATCGGTGGGATCTGCCTGCCGCAGCTGAGCTGCGCGGCGGTGAGGTACCAGCCAGGGCGCTCCGAACCACCAGAGCGCCAGAGCGCCCCGGACCACAGGAGGGTCAGAGCGCTCCGGACCACCAGAGCCCCAGAGCGCTCCGGATCACCAGCGCCAGAGCGCTCCGGATCACCAGCGCCAGAGCGCTCCGGACCACCAGAGCGCCAGTGTTCCGGATCACCAGAGCCCCAGAGCGCTTCACCGACAACAGCCAAATCTGAGCCCGCGACAACGGCACCTCACTTGTGGAGAAGCTTCACAGCAGAGCATTAAATGCCTGACTATGCATGCATGCAAGTGACGTGACATAAGACAAATAATGTCAAAAGTGTATCATGTGCCAACCAGGAACCATGCAAGCCACGGAAATTTAAGATTTCAGGTTAAAGCGAACCCCTGTTTGAACCAGAAATACCAAACTGCAATGACATTATCATTTGGCAGTGACCCATCTCGGGCCGAATAACAAGAGCACCCATGCGCAGACCAGGTGCGGGAGACCCAGGCCCACCTATGCATCAGTCCTGGCATTCCGCGTCACTGACCTTGGTCTCCGACGAGGCTGGTGACGGTTTGGGCGAGGCCTGCAGTCGCTCGGCCGGGTCCTCCCGCTGAGGGCCTTCACCTTGACCCTGACCCTGACCCTGACCCGGCATCGCCGTGTCCGGCCCGCTCCGGTCGGCCAGGGTCGTCACGCTGCGCGCCTTGTCCAGCCGCGCCGGCGCCGCCGGTGCCAGCCGCGTCACGCTCTGCGACTTGCGCTTGCTGAGCAGCCGGCCAGCGCCAGGCGCCACCGCCGCGCCACCTCGAAGCGACTCGGACGACTTGAAGTTGCGACTGGAGGCGATCGATGGCGCTGCGCGGTAGGGCGCCGCCGCCCGCTCGATGGCCAGCTCGCGGAAGCTGAGGCGCGTCTCGTCGCTGAAGCGCGTCATCACCGAATCTGAGGTCGCGGCGAGCGGCGGCGGACCGGCCGCCCGTCGCCGCGCGGCCCCCCGGCCTGACGTCACGGGCGCGGTCACGTGATCAGGCGTCCGCCGCAGGCCGTCCACCAGGGCGCGCAGCCGCCGGCGCCGCTCGGCGGCGTCGGAGCGGTCTGATTCGGCGACGCTGCCGTTGCCCAGCGAGGTCATCGGCCCGCCGTCGGAGCGCGGGGAGGGCGAGTCACCATGCGCGGCGCACGCGGGCCAGTTGGCTCTGTCCGGTCCGCGCAGCGTTGGCCGCATGTCGAAGCCCACGCAGGGAGGCAGTCGGGGGCCGGCGTCTGAGGGGGACGAGCTGCGGCCGTTGCCGACGCCCCGCGTCGGCAGTTCGACCGGTGAAGAAATCCCCCTACCACTGTCACCAGATAACGAAATTCCTCCATCGAGTACCGGGATTCCGTCATCCGATAAAGGCATCCCTTCACTGAGCGCAGGCATCCCTCCGCCGTTCTGGCCGCACGCCGGCACGCCGTCGCGGTCTGGCGAGCGGCGGCCGTTCTCGGCGGACGCGCGCCGGCGGTCGGGGGAAGGCGGCGAGAGGAGCCGCACGCCGTGCAGGCCCTCCACAGCGGCGGGCGCGCCGTCTGGCCGGCTCAGGTCCAGCTGCCGCCGCGGCGAGCGCGGGCTGACCGACAGGGAGGCAGCCGACGAGCAGGAGCGCGAGCAGCCCAGCGCCTCCTGGCGGCGGCGCGCGCGCGGCGGTCAGCGGCGGCACAGCTGGGCACTGCTTGTTTCACGCAACCATCATTGCTACTGCTGATTTGGAAGCTATCTAGAATAGTGATAACATTGTACCGATCTTAATGACCACAGCGTAATCAAGCGGTCACAAGTTACGCCGACAGCTGAATCCCGACTGCTGAGTTACGCGGCGCTCTTAGATGCTGAGCTCGCCAGTCTCGAAAGCTCGTGGACCTACGGTATCACTCGAAACTATGCTTTCCCGATTTTCCGGATATATGTGCAGCCCGTTGGCGCTCACCTCTGTGACGCCATTAATGGGCAACGCTCTCATTGGCTGCCGATGACCGCCGTTCTGACGTCCTAGGCTGCGATTGGTCCGCAGCTTCTCGCGGGCGTTGACCCCATCCGAGCCTGCTAGGAAGAGATGGGGTAATCAGCGAATGGTCCTGGCCAAAGCAGTTTCAGCGTGCAACCAGGCGTCCCAGTGACGTGAGAGCCTCATCCACAGCTCACAGATGCAACTATACCCACCAATCACTAGAGGCCTAAAAATCTGCACTGCTGATGCTGGATAACACATTCCAGAGAGCTGCGACTAGGCATGCTTCGCATCGAATCAGGCCTAGTCCGAAACTCGTCCGGCAGGGCTCCGGGCTGTCAAAACAAAGCCAGTTCCCCATTCTCTCTTGCACTCCTTGCTCTCTCCTGCTGTCCCTAGCACCCCTGCTATCTCCTGCTCCCCCAGGCACCCCTGCTATCTCCCACTCTCCCAGGAGCCCCTGCTATCTCCTGCTCTACCTGGCACCCCTGCTATCTCCTGCTCTCCCTGGCATCCCCAATGCTCTCCTGGGCGCCCCTGCCATCTCCTGCTCTCCCCGGTGCCCCTGCTATCTCCTGCTCTCCCTAGCGCCCACCGCCATCTCTCTAGCGTCTCCGCGTGACCGCACCTGGCACACACCACACCTATGCCCGGGGCCTGAGGGGAGGGGGGAGGGGGTGTCCTCTCACCGGACACAACAGCCGGTAGCGCGGCGGTGGCGCCGGCGACGGCCGAGGCCGAGGCCGCGCCCGGCAATGGCTGGCCGAGCAGCGCGCCCACCGAGCCGCCCGTGTGCTGCTGCCAGATCTGGCGCGCCTCAGGGCGCACGCGGAACGGCCGGCAGGTGGCGTCGCCGAGCAGCGAGGCCAGCGGCGGCGGCGGCGCCCGGTCGCCCCGCCGCGGCTGGCTCATGGCGCCTCCTGTGGGATAGACCACTGTGTCAGCTCCGGTTGGTCGGGTCGGCCGACACCAGCTTGGCACACTGCTGATGCAGATGTGTGAAACAGTGAGCCATGCTGGGGATGAACATGGAGTATGAATGGCAGCACATTTACAAACTGACTGTGATGAAGGTGACCTAGCAACCTCAAAATGCAAACATTCATGCTGCTTTTTGTTCCCACTTTTGGCACCTAAGGCTTCCACATGACATTGACTGTACATCACAAAGGTGGAAAAATAATCACTCAATGATCCCCTGTATCTGCCTTTGGGGCAATAAATGTCACTGGACATAGGCTATGTGCACCATAGACAAATAAAGCTCAACCCTGGCCCAAAACACCCACCTAACCTAGAGCCTGGCTATCAACATCTTTCTATGCCACAATCATTTACTTTAAACTGACCACATCTGGGATGCAGGGTTAGATACACATGCGCTTAAGAGAATAGCTCACTGGCCTGTGCCCATATTATAGCAAATATGACCTCGAGCCATTCAGGGGGCTGTGAAAAGTTGCCCAATTTTACACTCCCCATCACAAAAGCGTATGGAGCTTGAGATAAATACAACATGAAAATTGTAAGGGCACATGGTTTCTGCCTGCCATAAGAAATGCTATCAGGTTCTTGTATGTGGTCTTGTAAACACTGTCATCATCAACACAACACTGCTACCTCATTGCCAAAATGTCTGCATGCCCACTATTACAGTGTGTTTAACTAGGGGGTAGGATAATGGGAGGAGTTAGGGATTGGGAATATGGATAGAAAATGAACACTGCCAGATAACAGGGTGAAAATAGCAGTAAAGTTGGAAATGAAGCAGTTGTTTCTGGTAATCTGCTGTAATACTGAGTCATACACTCTGCAGTGCACACTGTACCAACATCATGTACCATAAACCCGTCCTACCCAACGGCCTGACGCCAAACCATGCGACGTTTACCGGAGATCACACAATAAAGTAGAACACCACACAGTAGGGCATTCGTAAGTCGCAACCCTAGAAACATTCGTAATCATAACCTGCAAACATTCCAAGCAAGCCTAAAACAACTATTGTGACACGACACAAAATCAAGACACTAAGCTCACAATCACCTTCCGCACTTACAGCTCAACGCGGCGGACCCCGGATGGTCCTCTTCTAGTATTTCCCTGACGTCCCGTGCTCCCACATATCACGATAGCAACTCTCGACCGTCGGCTTCCCTCCGCGAACCCGATCGTTTGTGGCGTTCAGTGATCTTAAAACTATTTCAGGGCACGTTCGTGACCAGTGGTTAGCGAAGGCTAATTTTGTGTAAGCCAGTCACACGTATAAAGGCGAAACTGTGACCAATCAAAAACAAGTTTTTAACTCACCGTTTGCAAAGCTGGTGGCCCCGAATGCAGTATTTGTAAACTGATGTTCTGCGGCGATAAGTGCGCACGCCGCTCAACACGCTATTGTTGTGGTATATGGCCTTGGTGTTAATCATGTCAGGATGCATCTTCCATTTATTGACTGGTGGGTTGTGGAACGGAGGGCAAACATTATTCAGATGTCGTCCTTATGGTCTCTGTGCATAGGCTAGATACCTGAATTGATTTGGAATATAAATTTTCATGAAAACGACAATGTTGATTCAGCGGAAAGAGTGGGCTCACGGGAATATTTTTTGAAGGCCATTGCTATCTCTGAATAAATCAAGTTGGTAGATAAATTTATTTGAACATTTGTCACTATCAATCACCTGAATGGATTCTATCAAAGGACCTGAATTGGGTAGTAGTGACACATTTGAATGGACTGTGTAAAACACTAGGTTGCAATGTGACACATGCACATGTGATTCAGCACCACTCATTCAAATATTGCTGTGCTTCTCAGCGTCCAAATTGGAATAACCATGTGAGGGAGGATCAGCAGTCAGAGCACATTGAAATGGTAGGCATGCATTTGAAGATTTATCATTTGATCACAATTGACTTACATATTAATACCTTTCAATACATTTGGTGTGTTATGTCCTAAAAATTTATTGAACAGCTTAGTGTTGTAGTTTAAGGTACTGATATAAACCCTGACCATTTGATACCTTGATATTGTGACATGCTAATTGCATGTAAGCAATGTTAATGTTTATAAGCTGTCAACAAGACTGTTCTGTCATTGAAGTAGCTGTTGTCACCACATGACTGCAACACATCTTTAGAGATGTGGAACTCCAATGGTGGTGGAAGTTGACCTGCCTTGACATCTGTGCTGTAAACCATATTCATAAAGCATGCTGTGGAGCTGATCAGGTGACAGGTCATACAGTGTATGATCATGTGTGGATCATGTGGTGTTGCAGCAGATCATGTGATAAAGCTGTAGCATATCATGTGCAGTTGCAACAGATCCCACCAACTTTGATAGCATGCTGACAGTGTGGGAAATAAAAAGGTTAGGTGTGAAGAGCATGATAATGAAAATTTAGGTATCATGTTTTACAGCATGTTGTCTTTCACAATGAAGTATGGAGAAATATAAAAAAATCTGAGCCATCATGCTTATTTCTTGCTCAGGAGATGGGGTTCCAAAGCACAGGCTCCTGGTGCGAAGATGATGTAGATGATGATGAAGGCATGAAGGACTGAAGGTGGTGGTGATCCACAGGGATATTCAGCAGCCAAACCTGATGTGTCTGCAGGACTGGAGAGGCCATGTGTCATGTCAATAGCTTAGCAGAGATACAAGACATGTTGCAACACTGCAGCCAAGAACAGTGGAATTTCAAGTTTATTGTCTGATTGATCAAGGCCAAAAGTAGTTTTTGTATCTCCTTGAAGTGTTTGGGTCATGTCTGCATGCTGTTTGTAAGCCTTCCTTTGGTTGATGAGGAAAGGAAGGAATAACAGTCCTCTCATTTCCAGACAAATGTTTGCTATGCAAAAGTCAGCTGTGTCTGTACCAGATGCAGTGCTTGTGTCACAGGTGTGCATTGTCTGATTGCTCAGTGATTTGCCATGAACACTGTTTTAGCCAGGGATTGTTTGTTATTACAGACAAGCCACCATATCCACCCAATGTCAAACCCAATCCCAAAGCAATGGTGCTGAAGGAAGAGAGGTTAGAAGCGAGTATATCTCCTTACACATTTCGTGGGTTACCTGTTTTCTTCTCAACACAACCAGCTGCATCCTCTCAGTACACAGGAAAGGGTTGATAGTTCAGTGCCTCCTACTACCACATCCTGATCTGTGCTCAAATCTGGGCGACCTGGGCTCACATCTGGCAATCTGGGCTCAAATCTGAACAATCTGGACTCAAACCTGGTCGATCAGGTCCTTCAGGGTACATGTTTGGGCATTCTGGGCTCAAATCCTGGCTGTGCCATGCTCCCCTAGATCCGCGCTGTGAACCCGTTGCACGCCAGCTCCCAGTGCACGGCGTGCGTGCGCCAGGTACAGCACGTGCTGCGATGCCGCCGGGACCGCGTGTTCGGCGCAGCGCGGCCGGAGGAGCGTCGCCGACCGGGGGCTGACGTGCCGCCTCTGGGGCATGTGTTCCGTGTGTCGGCGACGCTGCGCCGACACCTCGCCGCGCGCGCCAGCCAGAGGTCGTTCCGCTGTGACGCGTGCGGGCAGGCGTTCAGGGAGGCGTTCTTGGACGTTCACGCGCGTGCTCACACAGAGCCGGAGGTGTTCAAGTGCGACGTGTTCGGGGATGCGTTCGGTCGGTCCTCGGAGCTGACAGACCACGCGCAGTCGCACGCCGAGGACAGGTCGATCAGCTGTGGGGCGTGCGACAGGGCGTCCAGGAGGATGTACCAGCTCAGGCGGCACCAGCGCGCGTTCACACGGGCGAGCGACCTTTCAGCTGCCGCGCCTGTGGCCAGGCGCTCGCGCTCAACTCCTCGCTCCGAGCGCCCGCGCGCGTCCACACGGGCGAGCGGCCGCTCAGCTGCCGCGTCTGTGGCCAGGCGCTCGCTCGCTCCGAGCGGCCGCGCGCGTCCACACGGGCGAGCGGCCGTTCAGCTGCCGCGTCTGTGGCCAGGCGCTCGCGCTCAACTCCTCGCTCCGAGCGGCAGCGCGCGTCCACAAGGGCGGGAGGCCGTACGGCTGTGAGGTGTGCGGTGGGTCGCTCCGCCGCAAGGTCCGCCTGCAGCTGCACGGCTGGACGCACTCCGGCGAGAAGCCCACTGCGTACGGTGCGTGCGGCCGATCGTTCGTGCAGAACTCGGCGATCACCGCCCACGTGCGCGCGCACCCAGCGAGAAACCGTTCCGATACGAGCCGTAGAGCCGTGCGGCAGGACGTTGGCGCACAGCAGGTCTCTGCGCGAGCGCCGGCGTGCGCCGTGCGCCGGCGCCAAGCCGTTCTGATGTGCGGCGTGCGAGAGGGCGTTCTCGCGAGGGCGGCCGCGGCGGGCTCATGCCCTCGCGCGCTGGGCGGAGGGGGCTCCCAGCAGGTGCGGTAGCGGCCTCTGAGTCGCGTTGTTGGTAATGTGCGCGGGTAGCTGCAGCTTCGTCGCGCGTGTGTCGATGAGTTTTGTTGAAAAGGCCGCGGATTTCGGTGGGCTGCTGTGTCGCTGGGCTGTGTTTCTGCTTTCAGTGCCGTGCTAGTGTGAGCCTCATTTCGTTTACGAAGGGAGGAACACTGCGCGACGAAGGGAGGGTGAATACATTGTGCGACGGACGCCTTGCCGGTGCTCAAGTTTGACTGTGCCGTTCGTCCTCGCGCCCTCCTTCGGACGGGCGGCCCTACGAGGCTGCCGGCGGCCTCAGGACAGAACAGCTGCTAGACTGCCGGCCCCGACAGCTGTCTCGACCAGGGCAGCAGACCTCTGATGCTCAGTCCGGTCCATGCTCGCGGCGAGTGTCTGCTGAAGCTCTAGCTTTTGTGGAAGGTCTGCAGCTGAACGGTTTAGCTTTTGTGGGAGGCCTGCGGCTGAACGGTATAGCTTTTGTGGGAGGCCTGCAGCTGAACGGTATAGCTTTTGTGGGAGGCCTGCGGCTGAACGGTAACAAACCCAGCACGTGTGCAACAATGCAATTGCAGCGGGCCATGTCCTCCGAAGGCGGATCACGAGCGCGCATCCGGTGGTGTGGTCACATTCAGACGAAGGCGGAGGGGCGTCTCTGTCGTCTTTCGCCATAGAGAGATTCGCGGACAGAGACGAGCAACCTCTCGCACTGTGAACCCGATGCTAACAATGCGACCGGAACGGGACGGGTGCTTAAAGACCAGCATCGAGAGAGGTGGGCGGCGACCATCGAATGGCGGCTGTGCGAGGGGAGGGGGGGGGGGGGCGGACGACCGGAGAGCTGACATGCGGTTGCCTGTCCCCACCGCTGGAGGGCCGGAGGTGTACGTTGTTCCGTGCGGGGCATGGAGAATGCCGGCAGAATTGTCACCACGTCCATCGTGGAAGATGACTGCGCGTGTGATAATGAAACAGATCCTGACGTTGCGATGTGCTCGGGGTACGCGCGCGCATATGATGTCCAGATAGCATGTCCGAGACAGGTAGCTTTGGGTGTTTTCTGATGAGGTCCTTCCACTAAGTTTTCGGAAGCTTTCCGAAGTTTGCGGGATAAATTTACGCCGTTCAGGATGACCAACCCAGCCGTTACGCTTTTTTTACCAAACAAATGACATCCGCCTTCGCACAGACCAGACAACTGATCGTCGTAATTAATGATCGGTGATGAGCCAGATGTCCTGCCTTGCCGCGGCCCTCGGTGCGCGCGAGACCACGGGACCGGCGGCTGGTCGGCCAGGTCCCCTGCTTCTGCTCCTGACGCTGATGCTGCCGCAGAGCTGTTAGTTGTTCAATGCTCTTCAGAACGCTCGCGATTGTTGGCACTGACGTCAGCCGGCTCGGCGTGAACCGGCGCCTCCCGCTGCCGTAGTGGCGCGTCGGCCGGTCGGAGTCATCCCGCCGGCTCCACCCCGGGAGTCTGGCACGTGCAGACAGGCCTCGAGAGCCGCCATCCGCCCCCTCCCCACACACTTCCCCTCCCCTCGGCGCATACACACGGCTCACGCGCCGCTCACACAAGCTGTCGCGGCGGCGTCGAGACCGCTCGTGACGGCGATCAGCGACGCGGCCTACGCGCGATCGTGACGGATTGTCCCGGGTCACCGCGCATGCGCACCGCGGGGGTCAGCAGCGCGCTGGAGGTGGCTCAGCGCCGCGGGGCTCCACAGCTTCAGGTCGCCGCTGGTCCGTGACGGCTGGTCCGGGTCCGTGGGCGTCACGAGCTCGGGTCAGGGCTGGTCCGTCAGCCTGTTGTCGGCCTCCTCGGCCTGCTCGTCGGCGGACGCGGCCGTGTCCCCGTACAGCTGCTCTGGGACCGGTCCCGGCCGCAGCGCATTCGTCTCCGTCAGCTCGTTGGATAGCTGTGATTGGTCCCGACAGGCGGGTACCTTCACCTGGCAATACAGAACGCACCGTCACTGTCGCCTAGCAGCACGGTACGCACCGTCACTATCACCTACCAACACAGTACGCACCGTCACTGTCGCCTAGCAGCGCGGAACGCACTGTCACTGTCGTCTAGCAACACAGAACGCACCGTCACTGTCGCCTAGCAACGCAGAACGCACTGTCACTGTCGCTTAGCAACACAGTAAGCACCGCCACCGTCTCCTAGCAACACAGCACCGTCACCGCCTCTGGCGAACATAGCACATACCTTCATCGCCACCTGGCAACGTAAGATGTGCGCTACCGTCGCCTGGCAACGTATGTCATCCGACCGTTGTCGTCTAGCAAGGTAGAGCACACGGCTACCACCGGTTATCAGACTAGTTGCTCACCGATGCCGGGTAACGAAGAACTAAAGGCTCTTAGCGGTTTTAATTTCCATAAAAGCTGGCACTCGGGTGAGATTTACGCGACGAATAGCTTCTGCGAGCAGACGACTAAAACCAAGCGTTTTGTGCCAACATTTTTCGTGCCTAATACCAACGAAAACGGCCTATGCTCTCTTGACGTCCCAGCCACCAGCAACGAGCACAGAATGACTCAGTCTGCAGGGCCAGCCTGCACGGGGGGGGGGGGACTGACCTGTCTGAGCTTGTAGGGGAGGAACCGGCCGCCCTCGGGCCGTACCATGGCGCGAACAATGTACCTCTGGCCCGGGGGCAGGTCACTGAACATGACCTCCACCCGTTTCCTGAAACAGACGGAGGCGGTGGTCGGCAAACGTACGCATGTACATATGGTGGTACATGACACATGGACAGCGGCAGCAGGCCAGCTGTGTACGCATGTACACATGGTTGGCACATGGCACATGGGTGGCGGCAGCAGGCCAGCTCGGGGCTCACATGGCTGGCGGTCGGTCCAGCATAGCATCGGCATCGGCGATGGGCCGGCGCCAATACTGCCGCCGCGCCTCGCTGTAACAAGGTTCGGAAGAACATCCAAGGCTTGTAGGAGGATGGTGGGTGTCAGTTGGAGGACACTACACTCCCCGTATTTTAGAGGAAACTGCCTGGCATTGGAAGAAAAAACAATTTTTGTCATATTTCGGGGGTCCAGCTTTACCATTTTCCCTGCGTAGACCCCTCAGCTGATTTTGTGGAACTCCGCCCCTGACCATGGGTACAAACAGCTGTTCATCGCAACCTTGACAGGGTGAGGAGCAATTTGGCGCAGGCCCCGCCCCCCTCCGCGGGTCTGCCGGCGGTGGGAGCCGCCGCCGCCGCCGCCGCGAGCGCACCCTCTCCTCAGCTCCCGGCTGGAGCCGCAGCGGGTCAGGTTGGCAGGGCTCCGCTTCTGGCGCGCCTCCAGGCCGCACACCGAGGGCGGCTTGAAGCGTCGGCCGTCCTGGCTGCTCCTGTCTTCCTCCAGGAGCACGCAGTACTCCAGGCGGCGGCCCTGCGAGCGCGCCATCTGGAGCCGGAGTTGCTGTCAGAAACAGGAACGCGCGCTGCTCGAGGGAGTGGGCCTCATGAGACTGTGAAAACCACGCACAAAACTGCTGCTCTGAACCTCACGCTACCCACATCGCTACGGTATGTTCGTGGTCCAGGCCTGCGTATTACTCCGGAATGAAGATCTCCGCACCAACCTCAGCATAACGGACAGCTCCCCCCCCCCCCCTCCTCACACAGTGTGTCTCCCCCCTCCCCCACCCACTCACTCAGTGTGTCTCCCCCCCCCCCCCACCCCGGCAGCGCGGCACGTACCGTGATCACCATCTGCCCGCAGCTGAGGCCGAGCCTGGCGCGGCGGCGGCGGCCAGCCGGCCGCACTGCCACGCGGTCGGGCAGGGCGGCCAGCCGCAGGCGGCGCGGGCTCCGGGTGGCCTGGAACTCGGCGCTGGTGGCGCCGCCTGTCGCGCGCAGCTCGAACTGATAGCGTGCGCGGCCGGTGCTGTTGAGCTTGCCGGCAAGGAGGCCGACGCCGCTGACGTCCGCTGCCAGGAGCTGGACAGGGCCGCCGCCGCCGCCGCCGCCGCCGCCGCCGCCGCCGCCGCCGCCGCCGCCGCCGCCGCCGCCGCCGCCGCGCAGCACCCGCAGCCGCAGCGGGCCCCCGCACGAGACGACGTAGTAGTGGAGCGCGCTGGCGCCTCTGCCGCCGGCGCGCAGCGTCAGCCGCCGCAGCGGGCGCGACGGCGTCAGGCGCAACCGCGTCACGGCTCCACGGCGCACCGTCAGAGACCCGTCGGAGAGGTCCGAGTACCTGCCAGCGACCGGCAGCGACGGGTCAGAGGGTCGCCGGTGCTCGCACGCCGCCCGGGGAGGGGCGGGGGCGTCGCTGCCGCTGTGATGTGTTGATTTTCGCACGATGTGCTCTGGCTGTAATCATTGGTTTTCTTCACTTGTGGCCAGGGCGTGTATTGGAATGCGGAGCGTAGCTCACCGAGCTGAAAGCGGTCAGACGCGCGCTACGAACGCTAACCTCCACTAGCGGCGTCAATGTAGCTGCCCTTGGTTCGCCAGCTTGAGCTTACCCTCGCCTCAAAGCTGGTTGAGGTGAAGTTGGCCAAGGTTGGTCATGGAAAGCAAACGGCGGCCTGAGCTCGAGCCTGACTTGAGCTCAGTAAGGCAGCCGAAGAGAGGGTCAAGAGGGTCAAGGTCAGAGGAGAGGGTCAAGGTCTCCTCCACCCATGAGCCAAGAAGCTTACACTAGATACTGGGCGGCTTTACGAAAGCAGATTTCTCAAGAGTCTGGTCGGATTAGCAGGATTCGGGATAAGATGTGAGATGCCCTCCTCACGAGGAGGACTTGGGCCGCGTGCCTGTGTCAGCCTCGACCCCGATCGCCAGATCTGCCCGCTGCACACTACTGCGGGCCTTACGCCATCACGCGTAAGGCCCGCAGTAGAACTCGCCGACGCGCACCTGAACTCGCCGACGCCGTACTGGAAGCTGACGCTGCTGTTGATGTACTGCCCGAACACGGTCACGTGGTAGCGCGGCCCGGGCACCAGGTCATACAGCGTGTAGGCCGTGTCTCTGCCCACGCAGCCGACGGTGATGGTCCGGTTCTGCGCCGCCTGGTTCCGCCGGCGGCGCGACGGTGGCGCCGCCTGCTGGCGACGCCGCCGCTCCCCAGTGGCATCTGGCGCCTGTTGGCCGAACTTGGCGCTCAGGGCGCCGCAGACCGTGCTGAGGGAGGCGCGGAGAACGATAAGGTTCTCACAGCGGAGAACGGTCGGCCTTCCGCTGGCCGGCGACACGGCCGGGCGCAGTCAGCTGTCTCAGCAGCTTACGGCGAGAGCCTCGACCAAGCGAACTCATCAGCAGCGCATTGAGCCGGTGGTTATAGTTACCCTTCATTCTTTAGTGTTCGCCTCCTGGCATCGATAGACTTTCGTCATATCCCGCAGCAGAGATGCAAAATTGACCACGTAGCCCATGATAACGGCAATGCTCACCCTATTCTATCTGCCAGACGTCGGGAGGCGACAGAAGGCGCCGGATAACACTTGCATGACGCTGGCACTGGCACGTCGCCACCGCGGAGAAAGACAGATCGAGCACGTGGTGAAGTCGACGTCAGGCTGGCTCCACCGGTGGCCCCCCAGTGTGCCTCCTCACGGCTGTCTACGGCGATGACTCGAGTCCACAGAGCACAGTGTCCGCCTGAGTTTGCATTCCGCAGTGCCCGGTCCGCATCGTCCAATCCACAGTGTCCGGTTCGCAGTGTGCAGTTCGCAATGTACAGCTCGCGGTGTGCAGTCCACAGGGGCAGTCGGCAGTGTCCAGTCCGCAGTGTGCAGTCCGCAGTGTGCAGTCTGCAGTGTGCAGTCCACAGAGGCAGTGTGCAGTGCGTAGTCAGCAGTGTGCAGTCCGCAGTGTGCAGTCCGCAGTGTTCAGCCTGCAGTGTGCAGTCCGCGGTGTACAGTCCGCAGTGTGCAGTTTGCAGTGTGCAGTTCGCAGTGTGCAGTTCGCAGTGTGCAGTCTGCAGTGTGCAGTCCAGAAGGGCAGTCCGCAGTGTGCAGTTCGCAGTGTGCAGTCCACAGGGACAGACTGCAGTGTGCAATCCGCTGTTTGCAGTCTGCAGTGTCCAGTCCACAGGGACAGTCCGCAGTGTGCAGTCCACAGGGGCAGTCTGCAGTGTGCAGTCCGCAGGGGCAGTCCGCAGTGTGCAGTCCACAGGGGCAGTCTACAGTGTGCAGTCCGCAGTGTCCAGTCTGCAGTGTCCTTACCTGAAGTGACCACCGGGCGAGGTGATGAGGCAGTAGTGCAGCGCCTGACCGCCGAACGAGGCCGGTGCCCAGCGGATCTCCGCCCGGTGCCGGGTCTTACTCTTGACCTTGACCGCCGTCTGAAGGGCACCTGGGGCACGGGGAAACATCGGGAGAGGAACGTCAAGCGGGGCCCGAGGCGCACTGTGCGCATTAAGAGGGTGTGGAAGGAGCTGCGGGCTGACGAACAGCAAGATGGTGAGACCGCTCAGGTGGACAGTGTAGAAGGAGTAACGGGCTGACGGACAGCAAGATAGTGTGACCGCTCAGGTGGAGAGTGCGGAAGGAGTCACGGGCTGACGTACGGCAAGATAGTGAGACCGCTCAGATGGAGAGTCGACGTGCACTAGAGGTTTGATAGAGCACTCAAGTCAACACAGTTGAGTTGATAGGTAATTGCAACCACGCCTTATATCGAGGCTTGATTGAGCATCAGCGACAACTGCCAACTCAACCGGACAAATTCTAACTTAACACTGACGACTCTGACTTCACTGCACGTGACCTCTCGAGTCGCCACCCCTCCCGAGACGGAAAGCACCTGCCGCAGCGGAGGGCGCGCGCCCAGAGGCGCCCGAGCCGACGGGCGGCCAACCAGCACACGTACTGAGACCAGCCAGGTCCTGGTCGGCCAGCAGCCAGCCCGCACACGCACTGAGACCAGCCCGATCCTGGTCGGCCAGCGGCCAGCCAGCACACGCACTGAGACCAGCCAGATCCTGGTCGACCAGCGGCCAGCCAGCACACGTACTGAGTCCAGCCAGATCTTGGTCGGCCGCCAGGAAGTGCACGTAAGTGTCGCGCAGGGCGGTGATGTTGATGTCGTATGCGCCGGGCTGGCCGCGTCGCTCCGAGTAGATGGCCTGGTCAGGCCCGGCCAGCCGCTGCACGGTCAGCCGGCTCTTACCGCCCTCTGTCGGCGGCCGGCGGAACACTCGTCACACAACAGCCGGGACGATTGGCACGCACAAGATAACAGGAATTAACGTTCACATGGAGTCTAGGCAGGGATTTTTGAATGTTGTTTCAGCTCGCAGCTTGTGGGCGTTTAAGAATCCCGTTGCATCGTCTACGTCCCAGGGTTTTGTTGGAATCCTCGCCCTCACTGGGACCCGAACTCGCATCTGACAGGCGGATTCCAACACGTGGAACAGCCATTGACACGCTATTGCAGGGGCCCCAGATACTGTTCGCAAAGCGCACAAGTATCTATACAGCTAGCCCTCAGAGCTCCTTCCCTGAGCACGCTGTCGTGCCACCGCTGCCCGGCGGACCACGTACCGCGACGGTCTCCCCTCCCCCTCCCGGCTGGACATGGGGGGGGGGGGGGCTCCACATGGCTGGTGTGAGTCCCGGCTGCCTGCCTGCTCTGCACTGCTCTCACGCTCGGCCCAGCTCAGCTCAGCTCAGCCCAGCTCAGCCCAGCTCAGCTCAGCTCAGCTCAGCTCAGCTCAGCTCGGTGTTCTGGGCCTGGTCTCGTGAGGTGGAGCTAAGAACTCGTACATTTCTAAAGAAGGTGCGTCGTGTGAGCACACAAGCGGGAATCAAGCCAGTGTGACGGAGTCTTTCGATGTTTTAGTGATTGATAAATATGGCACGTTTGTGGGCAAAAGTTGTTTGTGGTCTAGGAGTCCCTGAAATATGAGCTGACAAACTGTAGGTGCGCAGTCATTCTATGTGACGATGCCAGGGTGAGTCGTGTCCCAATGCTGCCGTGCCAGGCTTCCGCCTCGAGCAAACGTGGACATGCCGGTGGCCTTACACACCCCGTCACAGCATCCAGCCCCGGTGACGAGGGCGACCCGGCCCCGTCCAGGTCCGCCCGGTGACCCTGGCGACCCCAACGACCCAGGCGCGGATCACTCCGCCGGCCGCCGCGGTGAGCACCCAGTCATCGGGCTGTGGCGGTGCTCCCACCCGCAGCACAAGACGTCGGAGCCCACCCACCTGTCACAGGGGACAGCTGATCACGCCCGGCTGTCACGTGCGACGCTGATGGATGGTGCGGGGGCGTGGGATAGGTCGCGCCGGGCCAGCGGTCAGCGAGGTCAGGGCTGAGCGGTACCGAGCGCTCGGATGGGCACGGGCCGCCCCGGCCGCCGCCGGCGCCGGGGCGACACTCAAGACCGACTTTATCGCCGCCGCGAGCCGACCTTCGACGCCGGTGGCGGATTACCGGACATTTGCCGGGGTCCTGCTGGTTTGTCGGCTCGCGTGGACATGGGCGGGATGGAGGAGCCGTAGGGGATGGCAGGCAGGGGTGAGATATGCCGCCGCCGGTGCGCTCGCCGCGGAGGAGACGTGTGTCTGTGCTGGATGCGGGATGCCGGACATACAGCAGCGGTGGTGTGGACCACACCGAAGAACACGCTGCGGTGCTAAAACTGACGGGCGATGTGATTGGCTGCTGGTCTGCGGAGCACGCTTGTGATTGGCTGCTGATCTTTGCGGGCCGCGTCGCAAGCGGCGTTAAGTGGTCTAACCATTGTGCATACGCGGGGTCGTCCGCTGACCGGCCTGTCGTGGCCGG